ATGCAAACTCGTTTTCTATTTTACTTATGTGATAATTATTTTAGAACGGACAAAACAAAAGGATGCATTTTCAATAGAACGGAGAGAATATGATTTAAGTTGGGCATCAGCTAGCACTCAAAACTTGAGGCTGGCACAATTGCTGCCATGTGGCTAGCATGGGGAGGAAGGCTTGGTCGAACTTGCTCCTTTAACATTTCGATTAGACCACCACTGTTGCAGGAGTCGATGAGTTACTATCAAAATGCGATGAGCACCTTGTTGTATGTAATATACGAGTCCATTTGCTGTCCAATTTCAATTTGCTATCCTTCAAAGCTCAAACCAATCCATTTGCTATCCAATTTCGACGAGTCACATTGATGCCCTTGTCTATGATTGGCTTTCAAATTTATCATGATCGGACAGCAACATTTTGAATCTATTCTATAAGAGTGCTGGTGGTACCAGTAAAATGCGACTCCAGTGCTCAAAAATTATAAATTTGGCTAGTAAAGTTTACATATCAATTTTTGTTAATTTGTCTTACAATTGTACCGCTGAATTTTCGGAAATTCTCTTTATGTTTATGTTGCCCCCTTAACTTTATACAAATTCGCATTCTTTACACTTCCCCAATCCCCCAAGAGAAGTAAAACTATTAGTTCTAATCATATCAAAAGTTTACTTCTAATCATACGAACTCTGGGTTTTGCTGCTTAATTTTATGAAAAGTTCTTAGACTACAAGTCCAGTGGTAAATCAATACAACCATTCGCTAGTGTGAGAAATATTCACATGCACTCAAACTTTCAACTTTTGAGACAAAAAGATCCCATTTGATCTTAAGAAACAATTAACAAACTTATCGTAGGCAAGTTGATCACTAAAGGGGATCTTTTGGATTGTAGATCAGAAGTAAAACAGTCATAAGAGCAATTAGCAGGTTTCTTTAGAGACACTTAGGTAGACACAGAACACACTGAGATTTCCCAAATTAAGACTATAAGGTGAGAGATTGCTAAAATTGGCTTTTTTTAAGAGGCAAAGGACAAATATATAATAGTTTTGGGGACATTTTGCAGTTAAACATAAAGAATTGATTACAGTTCAGGACCTCTCTATTACTTAAATAAAAAATGATTTAACAAGCGATTTGCATCACACAATTGGTTTTGTTGATTGTTCACATGTGTATGCTTTAGGCACTACCTTCCATCCAATGTCATAGTGAAAGCCATAACCAATTAAGGGGTGTAAATTCATTAGTGTATGGTTTTTAGGGGTGGTTGGTAATATGGTCAAATCTAAAGGTCTAACTTGTAATTTGTCTAAACCTCAAGGGCGGTAGATGTAATTCCCCCCCCCCCCCCAACACCCCAATGTATTAGAGGCATCAACCCTCCTCCTAGTTTTTACAAAATTTTTTGTTCAAATAAATTGAGAAGCATGTTGTTTATCTAACTATCTGTTCGGATGAGAGTGTTTTTCAAAAACTAATTTTTCAAATATAATAAAATTTTTTAAAAGTACTCTAAAAGGTAATTTAAAAATTAGTTTAAAATTTTAAAAAATATCCCAAAATATATTCTAGAAAATTTTCTACTCTTAAATATCCCAAAATATTTTCTAAAAATATTTCAAAATATAATCTAAAAACTCTGTTACAATAAAATCTTTTAAAAACATCCCCAAAAATAGTTAATCCAAAATCTCATGACAATTGGGCTCGCCAAAAGAAAGCGTGGATTTTTATTGGTGTTAACTGTAAAAGGTCACTCATTTTTTTTGGTGTTAACTGTAAAAGGTCACACTTTCAACAACAGGAAGCAGAAAATCAATCAAGAACAGGCCTGAGTGGGATGTCTTTAGTAGCCATACAAGCAGGGGCTTGATATCAGAATTGCTGTAGGAAAGCTGCATTGACATGCTTGTCTGTGCAGGAGAGACACGGAATCCGCATTGTTAATGTATCTCTAATAATCTCCGCGAGCAACTTTTTACTGATGGGACCGCGTTGGTCCCTCAACGTGGAGTTAAGTGCATAAGCAAACGAAACTCCTTTAGTGGAGTTGGCCATCATCTTTAGTGTGAGGTAGGAGGTCAAGGGTTCAACCTCTCTTAACCTCCTAAGGATTCAACCCTTGCCTTCCATTAAAAGTGTCACTTAATGTGGATTTGCTTAAGATTCATGTGGGTGTTATGCACTCGTATGGTACGATAGTGGTTTAGTTACCCGTATGATCCAATAGTGATTTAGTCCCCGTCAGTTTCCCATGACCCTGTTGGATCACCTCTCCTAGTATAGGTTAGATTAGAACTAGGAGTGGGCGTAGATGTAGATGATGACAAGTAACAAAAAAAATGCATAAGTAAACACACCACGAGGACGATGATGATTCCTATCATCAATCGCATGATTGTTGGACTGGCATCACCGTCAAGCAAGAGCAGATTCAACAGCTCAAGATCAACAAGCCCTTGGAACATGATGTGGCATCAGTTCCATAAATGTTTCTAAAGAGTGTGTGGAATTCATGGTTCAAAGTCTCGGTCTTGGTCGAGTTGTCATCGGAACCGACTCATCCTATATGATACTCGAATGAAATAATTTCAAGATACTTGACTCACCGAGAACTCGGTTGAGAAGTCTCCGATACGGATAGTTTCGGCCAAATCAACCCGAATCATTCTGAGTCAACTCGCAAATTTATATTTTACAATTTTTCTTTTGCTAATTTTTGTTAATTATTTTTTTAGTATATTTTTTAATATTATTCACAATATTTAGAATATTAAATGTTTCAAAATTTGCTTCTCGTCAAGACTATGATCAATATGTCGAAATCGATGTGGAATGGTCCGGACTGCGACTGCGACTTTAAACCACGGTGTGGATGGATGTCTGAAGTGTTTACGCGACTCGAGGGTCTCAAACCCTGCACGATCGATGCGATGGGGATCATTTTGGCTTTGCGGAGGAAGCCATCCGAATTGGAGGGCCCTGGGGCATAGCAAATTACATCTGGGATAAAGCTTGGTCCAACTTGCCCGTCTGAGTGATCTATTAGCCCTCCACTGTTGCAGGACTAGAGTCCGCTATCATAACGAAATCAGCACCTGGTGGCATGCGATTTACAATATGTCGAAAGTCCGCAACTGTTGACAGAATAGACTGCACATTCGTATCCAACTACTAATACGTAGGAATGGTGAGAACGTGAACAGGATATGTGTGTAGTTTAATATGAAACTTTAGGGCCCGTTTGGATGTGTGTGTTTAGGGGTGTTATTATAGAATTTGGAACTATGGGTGTGCGTATTAATAAAAAAATGGTGTGGTATCTTAGAAGTATTTGTAACGAGTCTTTAGGAATGTTTTTGATATCTGATAGTTATATAATTTCCCAACCCTTTCATCACCCACCACTATCTTGACAGAATTCGGTGTCGCACGGAGAAGGGGGAAGAAGGAGAGAGCAGAGAAGTAGAGGAGGGGTGGTGAGGGGGTGGCAGGAGGAGTGGAAGGAGGGGGCGGTAGGGAGCTGCTATGGAAGAGGGGGAACAGAGAGGAGAACGGAAGGGTTGATTGGCAGAGTGTGGTGGTGGTTGATGGGGAAAATGCTATTAATATGTGGGTATTTTTGTGAGTTTCTTTGGGTATTTTTGGCAATTTTGAAGTGTTTTTTTTACCATAGGTCCGACCGAATCAATCAATCAATACGACTATCCCCTAATCTAGATTAAGGCGATAATCTAATTCAGCATTTAAATTTAATATATTTAGATTTTAACACGTTTAGACGCGTTTAATAACTAAAAATTGAACATCTGGATTAATTAAGTGGCACTAGATTTCCTATGCAAAACTTGTTCTAAAAAATAAATGATAAATTATTCGCTTATCAGTGAATGTGATATACACTCAAATATGTCAAATTTAATACTTAACAATTAAATAATTTAATGGATTTAAATTTCAATTTTTAAATTTTAAATTTCAATTTTCAAATTTTAATTTTATCAAACTCAACTTAATTCATGTCATTATCATTAGATTTTAGTTCACCAAAGAGTCAACTAAATGATCAATGATGAAAAGATTAGAATACTGAAATTGCTTTTGAGTTGTCAAATTTATTGTCATTGCAGACTCCATACCTACCTGCTACTCCAGTGGAGAACTGCTGTATCATAGCCATACAATAAGTTAATCTGATGTCACTACTAATAGGCATTAAAAAAAAACACGCATGGAACCGGCTAACACTCCCGAGGTCACCTCTTAAGGTGCTACTAGTAAAGTTGATCAATTTTGCATATTTAATTCAGTTGTATTCATCACATTATCAAGGATTGAATTGGCCAAAGAATTAACAGATCATGTACTTAGACAACGGAGATCCGCTGCACAAAATAACCGAAAGCTTTAGAAATCAAGAATTGCAAATGGCAATTTTAAGTAGCATCATGAAGATGGGCATTACACAAGCAGTTGCAATACACTGAAAAGGCATACTATCAATCCTATCCAGGATTTTAAACAGGGTCCTATGTGAAGACTAAATATCAAAAGTCAAGAATTTTTTGAAATACTTTCTCACAAATTGGTCAATTCCTGATGATGACAGCAAGGTCTCGAATCAGATCTTTAAGTTCGTTTGCAGAAAGTTCAGCAGCAGATTCATTACAGTAATGCAACTCAATTAGCTCCAAAGTTGGGATTTCTCCGAGAGCACAAGGGAACTGAAACTCACAGGACCTCAGGATTAGGAACTGAAGGCAGGGAAAGTGATCACCTTCGGCTTCCCATTGCACAATATCAGTTTTTTGAATTAGTAATTGCTTCAGACAGCGAAATACTTCATCAGTTAGTTTCCATGTTGATCCTCGGAAGGCATAGTTTTTCAGCTTGAGCACCTCAAGGTTGGGTAACTTGGCGACATTGGTCATATCCTCCCATGGCAGATTGCTCGAACTTAAAGTCAATTTCCTGAGATTAGATGGGAAAGCATCCCAACTTATAGTCCTTGCTTCTCTGATTTCTCTGTAAAAGGAACAGTTAGTGTTTCAAGCTGATGCAAATAAGCCAGATTCTTCAGACACTCGCATGATCTATCCCTGTAGTAGTCTTCTTCGGTTTCACACATTCCTAGTTCTGTGAGGTTGGGCATCATAGCAAACGCATCCCTCCTGCAACTGAGGAACCGTACTGTGGATAATGTTTTTAGGTATCCCGAAGACAATGGCTGGCGGTAAGTATTGCTTGCAGCATCAGTGAGATAGCTTAGAAAAGCAACCATAGTTATACGGAGATGCCTCAATTTTGGCATATTCCAATATCTCACTGTCAGGGTGGGGATACCCCCATCTTCCCTTAATGGCCATGGACCATTGATGACTAAGGTTTGGAGATGCCTGAGTCTGTCTAGTTCTGTGGGCAGCTTATAAGTAACATTCAGTGCAAGGTACCTCAACTTTTGTAACTTTATTATTTGAGCAGGGAAAGAATCAAACTGCAGGAAGAACATGTCCAATACTCTGAGGTAATGGAATTTCAAATAAGAGAAAAAGATGTCTGGAACAAAACCTGAACGCAAAGTAAAGCACAAAAAAGATTGAAGACTTGTATATGGAGGTGCTAAGTGGACATCAGCATCAGAGTTCAAGTGCAAAACCAGAAGATTTTGATTATCTTTTGCAGGAAAACTTTGGTTCTCATGTTTTATTACAGACATGATGTTCTCTTTTGAGCTTCCCTCAAACATAATTCCCGCAAGAGGTCGTGTAGTCGACAAGTTTTGATTTTGCCAACTACATTCCTTTTCCCAACCAAAACTAAACTCCTATCAGTAAGATCTTCCAAGTAGTCCTCCGCTACATCTTCAGGATTATTTGAAGAACTTGCTTTCAAGAAGCCCTCAGCAATCCATAAACGAATTAACTTCTGAACTTCAATCTCATAATCTTCAGGAAAGGCCCCCATGTATAGAAAGCAAATTTTAAGGCATAGGGGCAAGTAGTTATAACTTAGAGCAAGTATATCTGAACATTGTTCTGGATTAGTGAGTACAACTGAATTTACGCTAGCTGCAAAATCCTTCCAGCAGTCAGATGTCATCACAGTTCTAGACAGAGTGCCAGCTATAACAACAATTGCGAGGGGTAATCCATGGCATTTTCTTGCTATTTGCTTTCCCAAGTCCACCAATTCAAGAGGGCCAACTTTCAAGTCCAAAAACAAGTTTTTCCAACGGTTCCCAGCTTTGCTCTATATCCAAAAGACTCATACAATGAGGATGGTTCTTTGGACTGACATAGGTTGCTAATTCCACGAACCGGCTGGTCATTACTATTCGACTACCATTTTTGTCGTCTGGAAGACACATTTGGATACAATCCCAGGCCTCATTACTCCATACATCATCCATAACAACCAGGTACTTCCTACCTTTTAGACATTTATACAAGTCATCAGCAAGATCTTAATTAGTCTTTTCACTGCACTTTTCATGAACTTTATCAGAGGGCTTAGTAACAGAGCGCAAAAGATCAAGCAACAAATTTCTCAATTGGTATACTTGAGATACTGTAATCCATGCCCGACAATGAAATTGAAAAGCAGTATCAGGGTGATCAAACATTTGTCTAGCTAGAGTAGTTTTACCAATGCCACCCATCCCCACAATTGCTAGAACTTCTCGTCCCAGCGAGGGTCTTGCTAGTCTATCCATAATTTTCATCAAATCAGCATCAAAACCAACGACAATATTCCTCAGATTTGAATCAGCTAATGAATGTCCCTTGAGGGGAAGGTTACTCTCCAGCTGCAAGGTTTTTAAACTGAGTGTAGTACCATTAATCCCTCTAATCCGTCTGATCTTTCTCCTAATGGATCGAATCTCTCCAGATATGTGTAAAAAGTAGTGGTGAATGCCTCTCTCGCCATCAAAACTGCTTTTGATTGCTGCTTCAAGATTAATTTTCCTATCCGGAGATTTTTCAGTGCACTTGTGAACTAATGTTTCTATTAAATACCTCATTTCTGACACAATAGAATTGTCTATCATCCATTCTTGTACAAAATCTGCTGCTCTATTGACAATATAATTGACATCTTTCTCCATTTCATTACGGCCATGCCATTTGACTGAAGAATCCTCAAATGCTGTCAGCAAGAACTGACAGGTTGTCAGCCTTCTCCATTTCATTACGGCCATGCCATTTGACTGAAGAATCCTCAAATGCTGTCAGCAAGAACTGACAGGCTGTCAGCCTGTGCAATAATAAAAACCTGTTCAACTAAAGTTAATTTTTGTAGATAGTGGTAAGCAGGGTCGAATTCACAGGGATTGAGAGTAACTGTTTCTTTTCCAAATTCAAACCAATAATGGGGGTGTTTTTGTATAGAAGGTGACAATAAAAGAAATTCAAATAAAATCCAAGAAACTAATAAAAATTAAATAACAATTTACTCAAATCAAATGAATGATAACTAAGGATCTAGTCAATAAATAATTTCAGTAATGGTTTACCTAATTGATCATCGATGCAAAACCAATTCTAAATATTTACTAATAAATAGGTTATAACTGCCAAACAAGCGATGATTGTCAACCCTTCCTTACTGTGTCTGTGATTAAAGTACACCCGTTAACCACTACTCTAATTGATTAATAATTTTAGGTATGCCAGTAAGATTTAATTCTCCAATTGCCTTACGTATTAGAGGAGCCATATTCTAACCAAATAACGCACTACCAGGGTTATTTTAGGTTAGCCCGCGTATTCCCGTGACACAAACTCAATCATGCCAGTCGTCACTATTTCAGGGTAATTAAACAATTACGGATTTAACGCCCCAATTAACAATAGATTACCAAATTAACAAATTATTCGAATCCAAAACAATCAATTAATTAGACAACCATAAGCACTGTAATAAAAGAATATGTGAATACTAATGAATAAAAGAAAAGGAAAAAATTAAATCGATCTCACAATTTTTAGGTGAACCAAAACCTTTGTTGTTCCTTGACTAGAAAGAGGGGTTTAACTCATTCTTGATGAAGAGCACCCACACAAAGCATAGGGAGCGATTACGGCCTTTGCCATTGATCGAGAGAATTAAATTTGCTTGAATTATGAAGGAAAAACCAGCTACAGCAATTGATTCAATTGTTTTCTAGTGTCCCCAGACATACAAGAAGGAAACTACTATGGAAACGGAAAAACGGAGAGGTCCCAGTGAAAATCTAATCTAAAGCTAAAAGAGAAAAGTCAAAAAGGCTAAGCTACCAATTCCTCCTCATTGCCTACTTCTATTTCCTATTCTAATTGCTACTGCCGTTGTGCGGCGTCCAGCCGAAGAAAAGAAAAACGAGAGTCCCTCGGAATAGAATACTCTCCGTCCGCTGCCCTCTTCAGCAAAATGCCAAAAATGGGAAAAAGTTTTCCTTTTCCAAAAATACTCCTGGAATAAGCTCTATTACTTGAACTCCTTTCCTGTCAAATTGGCACTTGTTATCATATTTTCGTTCTACTCCCTAAAATAAATGTAAAATGTCAAAAGTGAATAGAATTTAACAATTAATTCCCATCGGGTCAGGTAATAGGGGAAATTAATAATAAAATAAATGATAAAATTGCAACCTATCAATTCCCCCCACACATAAACTATGCTTGTCCTCAAGCATGAGAACAGCAAACAAGCACCAATATTTGACAATGGTCATTACTCTATCTACCATATTGCCAAGATACCAAGAAAAACATATATCCAGCATCAGTGATCAAAATCCGAAAAACATTACCCCGATTAGTTTCTAAACTACAAACTCTTTCAATTCCAAATTAACTAATCTAAGAAAAAGGAATGGTCGCTCAATATTACTAGCAAATGGTCCAGTTATTAACCAAAATCTCAACATTAAATTCACAAATCGACAAGCTAACTTTTTCACACACTAACACAACCTTCACCTTTTTGTCACACTTTTCTATTTTTTTTTATTTTTTCCCCTTTTTTTTAAATAGGAACAAAAGATTTAGTCTTTAGCCATCGAAACCTTTTGACGCGAATTCCAATATTTGTCAGATGAAAGAGCCCGATTACTCAGCTCCTATTGCCACGCGACCAAGTACTCATAGCAATTACTATTTTTTAATGCGAGAATCGACACTTTTGGTGAAGATCCCCGGTTACTCGGTAGTAAAGACTAGCGGAGTACAGTCAACTTTTATTCACAGCTAAATAACACAAAAACTCAATATAACATAATAAAAAAAAAGAAAATTTGTATCAGCTAGCCTCATTTTCAAACATGGAGAACTAAGGTTAATAACCAAACCAATTCACATGAAAATACTAACAATCATTCCTTTTGCCTAGGAAAGTTATCCCAGAATTATAAAAGTCACACAGTCTTCGATATTCACCCAAGAAATATTTTAGACTCAACCACGTTCACTTGATACATTTTTATTACTAAAATTTGGCTAAAGTAGAAATAGAGGCAACAATCCAATATCAAACCTTGGCATGCACATACGAGCTAATCACTAAAAAGAAAAAAAGAAAATGAATGAAAGGTAGACAAATAACAAACTAAAAATAAAGAAAGAAAAAAAAATCTAAAAACTCAAAACTAAAGACACTAGTACCATAATTGTTCCCCCCACACCTAAATCCTACATTATCCTCAATGGAGGAAACAAAGCAATTTAAAGTAAGAGGACAATGAAACTTCCCTCTCGAGTGGCTAAGGGGTAGGCGGGAACGGTGGAGGGAAATCGATGCAATATAAGTACGCGGCCAAGTTCTGAGACATCATAACTCAATTCAACCAGCAAATGCAAAACTCTGTCCACCCAAAATCTCAACAAATGGCTCCAGTTGGGCAGTTAATGCCTTAACTCAGAATCAGCAATTTCAACAATGACAGCTTAGATATTTGACAATAATAACTCAGCCAACCAAATAGAGGTACCCAATTGAGGTCCAATTACCCCACCAATACCACCGGTGTAGCAAACAACAGAAAAGAAATCACACACGACCAATACCAAGTCACTGATAAACCAAAATAACAACTAACACTGCCAACAATTGAGAACCGAGTTACAAATACCTCCACTGGTCGTCGAGGGAAGAAGCGGGAATGGAGGAAAGGGAGAGAGTGGCGCGCGAAGTAGCCACGTGATGGGCTGCCGCGGCTGACTATTGTGGACAAAGAGAGAGGTAGAAGGCAGCGAACTAGGGAAATGGCCGCGAGGCCGCTGGGCCTGGAAAAGGGGCGCCGTACGAGCAACAGCGGACGACGGCCTGCGAAGTGGCCGTTTGAGCTGCGGAGTGGAGCGGCGTGCATTGTTGCTCGGCGTCGGGCGCGGGTGACAGCATGTGAGGTGAGAAGAGACAGTGCGAGCTATGGTGGAGAGAAGCGCGCGGCCGTGGACTGGTGGCAGAGGTCGCGCTAGAGAGCGACGCGCGTGCGAATAGCATGCTATGGATGGCTGCTGCTGCTGCTGGGGCTGTTGGCGGCGGCGGTCGCGGGAGAGAAAGAGAGAGAGACATGCAAGGGAGCTGCGGCGTACGAAGGAAAAAGGAATCGGGGAAGAAGAAAGAAAGAAAGAAAGGAAAGAAAGAAAGAAAAGAAAAGAAAGAAAAAGAAAAGAGAAAAAGAAAAACAAAATAGTTTTTTGATTTTTTTCATTTTTGAAGTTACGGTCAAACGAATTTCTTTTTAATTTAAATTTTTTTTATTTTTAAATTAAATTTTTTTTTTGTATTATCATTAATAAAATTTATTTTCGAAATTCAAAATTAGAGATTAAAAAGGAAATCGAAATTTTCCTCGAGATTTGAATACTTACCTTTCTCGCGAACATGACGCGGGCACGTCAAGAAGGTAAGAACCCTTCTGACGAAGAGCTCTCCAGGTGACTCAACGCGGGCGCGTCATGAGGGTGGAAACACTTTTAACCAAGCATCAAGAAGTTGCGCCTTGTCACGCGCCCAGTTGACGCGGGCGCGTCAAGTCAGAGAGATACTTACAAATCATCAAAAACGAAAATTGAAACTAAAAATTAGCCAGTCTCAAGAAAAACATATTTAAACTATCAAACAAAACTGAGCAAACAACTAAAAGAAATTGGGTTGCCTCCCAAAAAGCGTCTTTCTTTAATGTCTTTGTCTAGACATTGTCATGTTTATTCAGGGAGGATAAAATCTTGTGGCTCGTTTCAGTGCTTCATCCTCTATATAGTCCTGATAGCTCTCGTAAATAGAGTCATCCTTGAGCATACGAACTAGGTCTTCCATGAATTAGTAAATGGCGCCAAACAAGTCAACGATAATCTGAATTCTCCATTCGCTCCTCCATCACGCGCATTTATTGGTCCAAGATATTTTTTCATTGCCAATCTTAACTTATTCCTGTTATGAAATTTAAATTTTCTGGTATAATAAAATCAATTTCACTAACAGGAATTGAAAAATAAGAGTCAGAAGAATATTGATTAAGGAATAGAGAAGATGTCACCGCATTTGGAGATTGTTCACTGGATTTATTCACATGGACGAGTTGATATTGGGGTCTCATTTCTTGCACATCAACTACCTTTTCAACTGCATCTTTAGATTCGTTTTCTCGAAACTCTTGCAGTTCCATGTCATTTATCCGGATAATTGCACTCTCATCTTCTTTAAGGTCAATGTTGGTCTGTGAGGGCAATTCTTCACACATCTTAGAAGCTAATTGCGTTACCCTGAATGTCAATAAATGAACTTGATCCGCCATCTCGGATGTTAATAGATGCACTTGATCCGCCAGGTTACTAATGCTCGCTTGTGTCTCCTGATGAAATCGATATGTATTAGCAGCTAGTAATTCAATCATTTTTTCAAGAGACAAACCTGATATGAATGATGGTTGTTGAGACTCTTACTGTTGAAAATCCATTGGCCTGGTTGCATAATTAAAATTGAAATCATCCCACCATCTTTAATCATACCCGTTTGAATAAGAGTCATACCACGTTTGATATTGAGGTGAAAAATCTCCAAAAGTATCGATTGGAACACTTAGGCCATCTTGAAATGCGGGGTATATGTCGGTTGAATGATCTG